AGACTGCTGAAGTCTGGTTGTGCTTACAGACTGATTATTGTGTTGTGTGTCGGTGTTCTGACTGTGCTATTTGTTTATAAGTTAACTGATAATTGTACTAGGCCCTTGGTACCTTCTCAATTAATACTTTGTAGGATATTCAGGGAATTAACTGGAATTTGTAAGAATATTTAGCATAATGGAAGAGAATACATTATTGATCACGAAGAGATCGCATTGTTTTTCATGTCTTTTATATTTGCAATCGAAGTCGATCGTTATTAAGTATTTCAACGATAAAGCGCCAATATAGAATTACTGCTTAACTATTAGGTATGTTTGTTTACAGTAGCAAAGAATTTTAATATCGGGGAATTGAGAAACAAATCCGTTTACGATATTATATATTGAGTTTCATTTGGACTTCGATAAAGTATTGCAGCCTTACTACTATAAGGTTATTTTAAACTCATTAATAGAAGCCAGGGGATTCGTGAATGCAACTATAGCAAGCACATCTTCTTCTCGTTATGGGTGACTGGCTCCGTCAATTTTGACGAGTATGCCAGTGCTTGTTTAGGGGACTGACTGCATAGCGTGAAGATGTGAACAGTGTTGTTTAGGGGACTGACTACATAGCGTGAAGATATGTACAGTGTTGTTTAGGGGACTGACTAAATAGCGTGAAGATATGTGCAGTGTTGTTTAGGGGACTGACTACATAGCGTGAAGATATGTACAGTTTTATTTAGGGGACTGACTAAATAGCGTGAAGATGTGTACAGTGTTGTTTAGGGGACTGACTACATAGCGTGATGATGTGTACAGTGTTGTTTAGGGGACAGACTACATAGCGTGAAGATGTGTACAGTGTTGTTTAGGGGACTGACTACATAGCGTGAAGATGTGTACAGTGTTGTTTAGGGGACAGACTACATAGCGTGAAGATATGTACAGTGTCGTTTAGGGAACTGACTACATAGCGTGAAGATATGTAAAGTGTTGTTTAGGGGACTGACTACATAGCGTGAAGATATGTACAGTGTTGTTTAGGGGACTGACTACATAGCGTGAAGATGTGTACAGTGTTGTTTAGGGGACTTACTAAATAGCGTGAAGATGTGTACAGTGTTGTTTGTAGTAGTTTTTTAGTGGTTAAGATAAAGAAGGGTTAAACTATAATTATAAGCGAAATATTCGGTTTTAAGCATCAGTAAGACAAATAACAATCTAACAATTACGTCGCCTAAGGAAAGACTTGAAGAGACACAGGTAAATGAAATGAACCACAATTTAAAACAAGTTCATTATTATAATGGATTTTGGGTTGATCATTTTGTGTGTGTGTGTAAAGTGGAAGCTCATTTTTGAGACTTTTTGGTCTGTTTGTGAGATTGAGACACTTGCTGAACAATGTGTATCACATTTCAAACATACTATTTCTGAAATATTTCTGAGATATTAGAGGAATATCAACTATCGTGGTATAAAGAACTGCACAGAACTTACACGGTGGTCTTTTCCTCCTCTCCTAGTAGGAATGTTCCCTTCGTATTTACTCCTTTTGATTTTGTTTTACGGTACCTTTAAACATTCAATAAAAGGTGTGCAGGGAATTAACAACTACAATAACAATACGAATTTCACATAAAAACACGATCTAAGATTTTAGCCTATTATCGTAAGATTGAAGAAACCATTTACAGGAAGAGCATTGCTTTTTAACATCGATATCTTGGTGGCCTTAACACGCGCATATTGCGGTGCGTGGCTTCCATAACAGGCAGAAAATCTGGCATGTCAGAAATGAGTGACACTGCGTTATAGAGCTGTTAGTCTTACTAGGACTCATCAGTGATGCTAGTGCCATCAACATGGACATCCAGATAGGTCTAAGCTACTGTTGAAAAAGGACGGTAGATGCAAATAAGCCATTCATAATTTACAAATGCTGGCTCAGTCAGGTGTGTATACTACGAAATGTGCTGCCAGTACCAAATGAATCTCTGTAGCTATTAAGGGTGTAGCACACTACCGCACTGCATGGTATTGTCCGATGTGCATGTGGTTTAAATTGAACAAATAATAGACATGTATAGTTATGTACAACATTTAATTATCTACATCTTCTTCACTGATCATCACAACATATCATACAACATATAAATATCAAAATACATCATAATAAAATAAAGATTTGGCATGTGGGGTAGACTCAACTTAACACTTGCATTTTTTTGTAGTACTATTCTTCCTCTCAGTTTAGGCAGTGAATTTGTAGTGGTGCAGATAAAGTCTCATCGATTACTACAAATTGTTCGCAGATTAGTTGTGGCTGTTCGGGCTTTAGCAGCGACAGATTACCACAAAACTTGATTGATCGCCTTGGTATATGCTATTGTATTTGTGCAGGTTATCCTGCAACAGATACTGCATATAGGTGCAAAGATATAAACTGTAGCTGCGCAAACTTTGTTGCAACAGATTACTACATGTTCGTATTGCCTTGCAAACCTAAGCCCGAGGAGGAATAGCACCTTATATATGAGAGTATTTATTTGTCGCAGGGTAGCTATGTGACTTACTATTAAATGAATTATGTTCATAATTCCAAAATAAATTTATATATGAATATTTTTGGGGAAGCTTGAATGAGGAATGCCTCCCTCTTCGTATCCGAATGAAAACCAGGCCAATACTCAGGTGTATTATGCGAGTGATATAAGCTGAGTACCCCAAAAAGCCTTATATTATGGGTAAAGAGAATGTATATATACATGTAATTATACAAGTATTTTAATATATAAACAACAAAACACACAAGTATGAAACGCAACTAAAAAAACACTACAAGGGAGTTCAAAGTCTGTTGTTGGCTTTGAAATAATCGTGTGCACATGTACAGTGTTCATTTGTTTATATGACGTATATTCTTATGTATACGAAACTGTCAATGCAATGTGAGCATCTCTGATAGTAGCTTGTGGTGTTCGTATATATATCTACAGTACGCGTCTGAGGACCACCTACCGAGCACTTTGATAAGGTGGTCCTCCACATGTGCAGCGGCAGCGGATGCAGCTGCACCTATACGGAAGGAATACCCATTGTAAAGTTCCGAGTTAATGCCTAGACATTCGAGTACATGCCTTAATTTAGCTATAAACACGGTTCTACTAAGAGCGTGTCATTTATCTGTCACGAACAAGGGGTCATTCATGGAGGGCTCTTGTCTTTGTCGTGTTTCCATATACTTGCTACATGCTCTATAAGGACATACACTGTTGTTAGTCTTAACCAATTTCAGCGTCACTCCCTCTCTAAATGGATCCGTCTTAGATGTTTTCAGATACAGAAGTACATAATCATCAGCAATTGTCATATCACCTACACATAAATTACTACTATGGTCAAATTCAGATTTGACAGTAAATTCACCGCATCTCAAAAATCCAAAGAATGCCACTGTACACACTGTTTCTAACATGAGGTCACAGAAATAATTTGAATTGCGGCGAAGATAAACACACACTTTTGATAGAATGTTGAAAGTTATCGGGTATCTAGGTTCCACAGTCTTCACGCGTGAACGTTTAACTCCTCCCAGTACTGGCTGCATGCGGTTTAGACTTGTACTACTTGTGTATGGTATATTCTCTTTAATACACATGAATTTGATACCACAGAGATACGACTTAATTGTAGCATACGAAAGATTGTTATTGTGACAATGGGTTACGAAATATATCAATATATCCTCAGTGACACACATTTCGTTGTATTTTACACACGCGATGATGCCTGTCATCAGGAGAAACTGTATGAAAGTCTTAAAACCTGTGTTATAAGCCTGTGTTGTGCTTGGGGCAATAGCTTTTTCCCAGAGACTGTCTATCACCCCTTCGAGCTCCACAAGATGTCCGACGGGTGTGGCACCCGGCATGGAATGCGGTCGGCCTCGGGTTGTCTGAACCGGGTCATCTGCAAACGAGATAAAGAGTCAGCTATCGAGTTACATTTGCCCGGTACATGTTTAGAAGTCACTACAAACATATTCCGAGCTGCACACATAGTTAAACGCCTCATAAGTGACATAATGTGTGCTGATTTAGAACGTCCTTTTTGTAAGATGGCGACAGTCGCAGTGTTATCACACATGAACATGATTCGCAGTCCTCTCCATCTATGTCCCCAAATAATAGCGGCTACTACTATGGGATATAGCTCTTTGAAGGCTATCGATAACTCCTCGTTGCTTTTAACTAGTTCCTGTATATTTGGTGGCCAAGACTGGTCAAACCACTGACCCTGCAAGTATCCCCCGAAACCTTTAGTTCCCGACGCATCAGTAAATAACTTAATGTCCTCTGATGCAGTAACGAGTTGATCATAAAAAACTGCTGATCCGTTCCAGTATTCCAGAAAGATCAGCCACATATTAATGTCTTCCCTACATTCCTTGGTCAGTTTGATATGGTGGTGCAATGCCTTCACCGTGGTCGACAGCTTGATGATGTGAGAAACGAAACTACGACCCGGAATGACCACTTTGCTCGCAAAATTTAAATGACCTAAAAGTTGTAGTAGTTCTCTTTTAGAGCATGATGTGCGATTCTGGAATGATTGAAGAATGTATGTGTCACGTTTTAGTTTGTCATCAGGTAGTCTTGCCTCCATTTTATTCGAGTCCAGGATGATGCCGAGGTACTCAATCACCGTACTCGGTCCGCATGTTTTGTGAAGAGCCATTGGAATATTGAGACTATTGAAAATGAGATACAACATTTCCATATTTCTATCACCACACTTATCTGGTTCCTCAAATGTGATAAAATCATCCAAAAGGTGTAGAATATGGTTAATGCCATAATTATGTTTTGCTATCCAGCATATAGCCTGTGAGAGTGTCGAATTTTTTTGGGCTAGACCGACACCCAAATGCCAACTTAGTATAGTAATAATACAAACCCTTCCAACTTATACAGTACAGATGCCACTGTGAAGGATGTACCGGCATCAACTTAAAAGCGTCGGATATATCCGTTTTAAACATGGTAGTATCTTTGCCTAGTTGTTTGATTAATGTGATGGCATCGTCAATACGGACATAAGATAGAGAACATTCCTCTTTATTGATCAAGTCATTAACACTAGGGTGGTCCTCGTCCTCATGGGGTGACGAAAGGTCCACTATTAGGTGCGGCTTTCCTGAATATTTACCGTACGCTACACCTATAGGGCTCACTCTATATGACGAGAAAGGCAATTGTTCATATGGCCCACGTCGAAACCCTTTGTGAACTTCGCTCTCTATCAGCTTGTCAACCGTAGTTTCATCACTAACTGCAGACCTAAGGTTCCTACATACCTTTGTTGTTAGTTTAATGATAGATATCATGGTGTCAAAACCATTGCTTAGACCATCGTACAAATAATTAACGAAAGCCTTATCTGGATGATTTGAAAGTGCTTGTCTCAATCTCGAAATGTTAATATGAGTGGTAGCCTTGTTGTTATCTCTTTCCTTGTCCGAATTCTGCCTTTGAATTAGTCATTGATTTTGGTTTTTGCGACATGTTTTTGCCCCGTGACTGGTTGACTTGCACGAAACACATATGTGTTTGAACCGGCATCCAGTGTCGTAGTGACATTTCCCGTCATTGAAATTGTTACATGCCTCGAAACCATCAATTTTGATTTTAGTACGGCCGTACTTGTCTGTCTCTTTGGATCCTTGCAATTGTGGTGTGATGTTATGTTGCGCATGAGGTGCAAACAGTTTTCCGTGACCTTGACCGGACTTCCTGTTTCTCTGTTGGGGACAGAATGATGTGGAATGTGATGTCAAACCACAGAGTTGGCACACGTTCACTCTGGTATTACCCATCACCATGGCCAACAGTCCATAGTCTTTCATTCCCCAATTTACTTTTTGGTTGGTGTCCCGCAGAGCTGTTGCTGCCTTGAGAGCAAACTGGCAGTGGTCGTCATAAAACCTTTGACCATACACGTTTGAGAGATCAATTATATTAGCCTCATAGGTATCCATTTCTCCCCTCCTTTTCGGAAACTTCCCGAACATAATTCGCTTATAGTTCCCGAACGCTGTGATAAATTCAGCAATATTCAGAGGTTTATTTAACCTCTGGTCTCGTTGTCACCGAGATTAATGTAAATACCCCTCCGTATTTGTTCTTCCGTACGTTCGGTGTCATATTTTGGTATGAGAAGGGATGCCAAATTAACGTACCTGCCTTCAAGGATCTTTTTCTTATTTGTATCTGACACTATGTCGAGATGCGGCAAGCTTTCTGAAGCTATACCTTGTGTGGTGTACCCACCTTGTGTGGTCGTAGTCACGGCAGTGTCCGGCCTTCTCAACGCATCGTAAGCTGTTGAAAGGGTGTATTCCGGCTCCTGAATAGGCGTCGTTGATTCCCGTCGTCCGTCTCTTGTTCCTATGAGAGACATCACCGTCTGTTGAAGACCGAGGACAGTTTGCTACATACTCTGCATAGATGCCAAGACCCCGTGAATCACCGAGGAGTCATGTTGTGTGGGCGCCGCCATGTTTGTGCTGCTGTTAACAACTTCCGCTGGAATGTGCTCCGCGGAGTTAGAGGCTGTATCACTACGCCGCGTAGACTGTGTGACTTGTGCGAGTTGTGATGCGTTTTGACTGGATGAAGGCCCCTCCGCGTCAGAATGTAGTTCCCCTGTTCCGACGGAGAGTTGACTCCAAAATTCGCCATTTCGATCAGTGTTCATGTTTTTGCCATCTGTTACCGTAGCCAAGTCAGAAAGAATGTTACTTGCGGTTTCATTTCCTCCAGTAATTGGAGTTTGTCGTCTCGCGATGTGTCCCGCGTTTTCGAGGTACATGGCCTTTAAAGCCGCTTTCGTAATACCAGTTGATGGCGCGATTATCCCAATTCGAGCTAACTTTTCTCGTAACTGAGTTATCGTCCAATTTGCTGGGTTTGTTGAGTCCCAAGGTGTATTTCTAGTTGTGGATCTGGGTCGACGACTAGCCATGGTCCCGCGATCGAGAGGTCGCTACAAATTGATGGGATACTAGTCTGATCGTCACTCGATCATATTGCTCTCGTAGGCCTATCCTCTGAACGAATTGCGTCCCTAAAATACACTAGTAGGTATTATTCTTATGTATTCTTACTTAGAAGTTGTTGTTCCTTCACGGGTCCGCTTATGTCTCGGGACTCCACAGAATTAAGAAATTGTTTCAATGTTGACACTTCAAAATGGTCCCACGTAGAAACGCAATTTACGTTCACATATGATTCACATCCACCTGTTGTAGTGCTTCTGTACATTGTATGTACAAGTGGTTGTAAACGCTCCGTAGCGGATCGGTTACGGATGCTGACAGATGCTATGTCGGTAATTTGTATTATGTAATGTATTGCATGATGGGTAATAAAAGCACATGTTTTGAGAAGCCATCTTGACCTGATGTGTGGTTAGTTGTGTCTAGGTAAAGAACATAACAATTGGCGACGAGGACAAACATGACAGCGACGTTTGGTAAAATCGACGCTTTTGAGGAGGCGGTCGGAACGTGGGAACACTATACAGAACGTCTGGGACATTATTTTGATGCGAATAACATCGGAAACACGGACGATGCAGACAAGGCAAAATGTAAGTCAATCCTATTGCGCGTTTGTGGCGGAAAAGTGTACAAGCTCATGTGCGATCTCCTTGTACCGGCTAAACCGGGCGATAAGACATATGATGAACTTGTGGCAATAGTACAGGGCCATTATCAGCCAAAACCATCAGAAATTGTTGAACGTTATAAATTCCATAACAGATTTCGAAGTGCGGGAGAAACTGTGTCAGATTATGTTGCGAGTTTGAGGCATTTAGCGGAACACTGTAACTATGGAGAAACCTTAGACAATATGTTGAGAGACAGAATAGTTTGCGGAATTAATGAAGATCGCATTCAACGTCGGTTGTTGTCGGAGAGTGAATTAACATTCAAAAAGGCATTTGACATCGCATATTCGATAGAATTAGCGAAGAAAAACGTAATAGACCTTCAACAATCTACTAGTTCAAAGGAACAAGTCAACAAGTTACAGTCTTCGCAAAGCGCGAAATCCAAAAACAATAAACAGTTCAACAAGGGACATCAAAGTTCTGGAAGTACTGATAGACATGACAAACCATGTTGGCGGTGTGGAGGGAAGCATAAACCTCACACATGCAGGTTTAAGGACTATGAATGTTACAAGTGTGGTCAAAAGGGACACATTAGGGATAAGTGCCCCAACAAGGAGGGGGATAAGTCAGGCAAGCTGTATAAAAGGCAAAGTGGTCAGTACAGCAAACAGCCTTCCAAGGTCCATATGATGGAGGATTCTGAGGACGAGATGTACATGATGTATCACATCAATCACATTGGGGAATCAAGGAAACCCTACCATGTCAAACTTCAAATAGGGGGTAAGAATGTGGACATGGAAATCGATACAGGCGCTGGAATTTCAGTGTTGAGTGAAACAACATTTCGCGAGTTATCTGAGGATACTGGACTCGAACTCAAACCCACCCAGGTCAAGTTACGCACATACACAGGGGCAAGTGTGCCTACTTTGGGCGAGTGCGTACTCACAGTGTGCTATCGTAACTTTACGAGAGAAATGTTGATTGTAATAGTCAAGGGTAACGGTCCGAATCTCATGGGACGCGACTGGCTAGGGAAAATAAAGTTGAACTGGGCTGAGATATTCAAGGTCAGTGAGGATCATGAACTACAGACAGTGCTTGATAAGCATAAGGCAGTCTTTGCAGGAGGACTGGGTAAAGTGAAAAACTTTAAAGCCAAGATATATGTGGATCAGAACGAGAAACCGCGTTATTTCAAGGCAAGACCAGTTCCATACGCATTGCGGGAAAAGATTGAAACGGAACTGGATAGACTGGTGCAGGAAGGCACCATTGAGCCTGTTGAAATGTCAGAGTGGGCGACACCTATCGTACCCATTGTCAAGTCGGATTCTACCATTCGTATCTGTGGTGATTACAAAGTAACTGTAAATCAAGTGAGTAAGTTGGACAACTACCCAATCCCTAAGACTGAAGATTTGTATGCTAGTCTTGGAGGTGGAGCTTTCTACTCGAAACTGGATTTGAGCCAGGCTTATCAGCAGTTAGAGTTGGACACCGAGTCGAAACCCTACACAACAATCAATACCCATAAGGGCCTGTTTTGCTATAATCGTCTACCATATGGGATTTCGTCAGCTCCCGGAATTTTCCAGAGGACAATGGAAAATATCCTTCAAGGTGTACCGCAAGTGATAGTTCGTGTCGACGACATCTTAGTCGCCGGGAGGGATCGACAGAGTCATATCAAGAACTTAGAACTGGTTTTGACCAAACTGGAGAATGCGGGTATACACTTGAAAAAGAGTAAATGCTTTTTCATGAAGGAAGAAGTTGAGTATTTGGGTCACAGGATCACTGGAGAGGGCATGCAACCGATTGAGGTCAAGGTTAGAGCCATCAAGGACGCTCCTGCGCCCAGGAACGTGAAAGAACTTCAGGCTTTCCTTGGTATGCTTAACTATTATGCGTGCTATTTACCCAACATAAGCACAGTGCTTGCACCACTTCACATGTTGTTAGCCAAGGAGACTGACTGGAAGTGGGGAAAACGCGAAGAAAATGCGTTCGTCAAGGCCAAGGAACTTTTACAGTCGGATACGGTACTCGTGCATTACGATCCGAAGAAGAAGCTAGTGTTGTCGTGTGATGCTTCTCCTTATGGCCTTGGTGCGGTTCTATCGCATGTCGAGCCAGACGGCAAGGAACGGCCTATCGCCTACGCGTCGCGTTCGCTGGCACCGGCTGAAAAGAACTACTCTCAATTGGATAAGGAGGGCGCAGCCCTTATCTTTGGTGTGAAAAAGTTTCACCAGTATTTATATGGAAGGACATTTACCATATATACAGATCACAAGCCGTTATTGGGGATTTTCAAGACTGATCGGGCCATTCCGACTATGGCATCTGCGCGCATCCAGAGGTGGGCGCTTCTACTCGCGGCATACGAGTATGACTTAATCTACCGTCCGGGAACATTGAATGCTAACGCCGATGGGCTTAGTCGATTACCTCTGAGTGAAACTGTAGATGAGGTACCAGTTCCAGGAGAAATGATTTTGATGATGGACACGCTTAACTCTTCGCCCGTAACCTTTGAGCAAGTGCAAACCTGGACAAAACAGGACCCTACGTTACAGGAAGTTATCGGCTGGGTGTACAGAGGTTGGGGAGAGAAGTGTCCGAATGAACGGTTAAAACCCTATCACAACCGGAGACATGAACTCAATCTGTATGAGGATGTTCTACTGTGGGGGAATCGCGTAGTAATCCCTACATTTGGACGAGCATCGTTGCTCGACGCCCTTCATGAAGGTCACCCAGGCATCGTCAAGATGAAAAGTTTAGCTCGAGGGTACGTCTGGTGGCCAGGCATTGACGCCGAAATCGAGGAGCGAGTGAAGTGTTGTGAGTCGTGTCAACTACAGGCTTCCATACCGGCAATGGCACCACTTCATTCATGGGACTGGCCATCGAGGCCATGGTCACGCGTACATGTGGACTACGCAGGTCCATTTCTGGGTCACATGTACCTGGTCGTCATTGACGCATACAGTAAGTGGGTTGAGATTTTGGTTACAAACTCATCCACATCGGCAATCACTATCGAGAGACTGCGGTGCGTGTTTGCGCAACATGGATTGCCAGAAATGTTAGTGTCGGACAACGGTCCGTGCTTCGTGAGTGAGGAATTCAGTGTTTTTATGTCAGAGAATGGCATAAAACATGTAAGGACTTCGCCACACCACCCCGCTTCAAACGGACTGGCAGAGCGGGCAGTGCGGGGATTCAAGGAGGGCATGAAGAAACAACAGAACACAGAGGGTAGTCTGGATAAAAAACTTTGTCGTTATCTCCTAGCGTATCGGTCAACACCGCAAACAACAACTGGATTGTCTCCAGCGGAACTCTTGTTCAACCGTAGAGTCAGGACAAAACTTGACTTAGTTCGTCCTGAAGTTCGTGAGCGTGTACAGCAACAACAGCTGTTGCAGAAGAAACAACATGATCAGCACACGAAGGAACGTCATTTCGCTGAGGGAGATTCCATATTCGCGAAGAACTTCTATGCTGGACCTAAGTGGAAATCGGGTGAAATCGTGTCGCGAAATGGACCCGTGTCCTATACCATAAAGGGGGAAAATGGAACAGTGGCTAGACGCCATGTAGACCACTTAAGGCAAAGACATTGTCTCCCTGTGAAAGAAGTCGACCCCGACAAAGACTTTTATGACACCATACCTACCTCTGTACCTGTATCTGTACCGGTTACTGAGCCAAACAACTCAGTTGGTAAACCAAAGCCTGCAGATAACACATCGACACCTGTACCATCAACAAAATCGTCGATTAGTCCAGGAGAACCTTCAAGGAGACCCCAAAGACCGCGTAAACCACCATCGTACTTGAAGGAGTATGTTCGTGATTAGCTAGCATTGAACACATTATTTTGAGTTTCTGTTAAGCTTTAAGTAAGGATGAACTGTGTTCTATGAACTTGGTAAACTTAAGTGTTCAGCGTTGGTATCGCGCATTATTGACTGTGTTTATTGATGCACTCTATCTGTGCAAGAGTTTTTGATTCAAGAGTTAACAGTTCATTTCATTTCTAGTTATATGGGAAACTTTAATTTCAAGAGAACAGCATCTCACAATCGGCGAATGTCTTCACTGTGGGTGGAGGGATGTAGTGTTTCTGTACATTGTATGTACAAGTGGTTGTAAACGCTCCGTAGCGGATCGGTTACGGATGCTGACGGATGCTATGTCGGTAATTTGTATTATGTAATGTATTGCATGATGGGTAATAAAAGCACATGTTTTGAGAAGCCATCTTGACCTGATGTGTGGTTAGTTGTGTCTAGGTAAAGAACATAACACCTGTAGCTGGTAATATATTCCCAAATGATTGTAGTTCACTAGTTGAAACAACAACAGTCCGTATTAATTTATATCCGATTGATTTAGAAATTTAGCGTGTTTTCAAAGACAAAGTACCGTGATTTTCAAAGACAAAGATTGTGACGTCTTTCTGCTACAGAGCCTGTGAAAACAATGACCAACTATACCCCAACCAATCAGAATGCTCTAAAGCGGTTATCTATATTTAGGATTGTCTAACACTACATATCATATTACATCTTTACCTTACACTATATATGATCACATCGTTACCTAATAAACATAAAATTCTTAGTTTATATAAATAGTTCTATAAGTTTTATAGTGTACTTCCTAAATAATTCTTTCAAATAATGATTTGTAGTCAGTATTAAATAATTTGTTCATTTAAACCTGGCTTATTTACATAAGCCTTAATATAATTACGGAAAGGATTTGGATAAACACGTGACAAAAGTTGAGCACTCACAAGTCGTTTTTAATTTAGATGTTATCAAAGATTGTCTAGCTGTTACCATGTGGCACCGTCAGAACAAAACTACCATCTCAGTGGTCGCTCAACCCATTCACTCCTAAAGTCACATGTGAACCTTACCAAATAAAAGACTGGACAAGTACAGTTTAAAACTGTAGGGTAGAATGGTTTAACCAACCAGTAAGATGGTAGATTGTGATTCAGTTTTAAAGGTTTAAACATTAGTTCTGACTCCCGTTGTTTACCGTTTGTTTAGATTATATTGTGGTATCTGGTAAATTCTATGAAGAAATAGTCGTGTTGATATTTGCCCCTTTCTTGTTGATTAACTCATTCACCCCTGAAATTTCATAATGAACTATTCAAACCTTTGAATTGGAAGAGGTAAAATATGTCTTCAGGGTTGAACGAGTTAATAACGTGTTTTGACCCGAACTTGCTTTAAATATATGCTTTGACGTACAGTTTTATTTATATCAAGGTTTGTAACGGACCAATGGCCGACCAGGTACATTTCAACGTAGGCGGGACGAAATTCTCAACTACCTGGGCCACACTACAAAGACTCCCCAGTTCGAAACTTGGCCGGCTACACGAAAGAATCAATGAGATAAAAGGAGAGCACACGGAATTCTTCTTTGACAGAAATCCAGCTGTATTCGGATGTATACTGGATTTTTACAGAAATGGTGTCCTGCATCTCCCGGAAACAGTTTGTGGACGTCAGATTCGTGAGGAGTTACAATTTTGGGATATATCAGCTGGCCTCGTTTCCAGTTGTTGTTGGCGGGTTCTGTACAAAGATGACGGCGTGGAGAAGACGATGAGATTACTGGACATGGAGCTTCCAGTTTTCCCTAATGGTATGCAGATGCTTCAAAAGGCCGAGAAGGTGACGTCCACGATCTGGAACCTCCTGGAATATCCCTCCTCTTCACTGATGGCCAAGGTATGCTATTAAGGTGTTCTAAACATTGTGTTTTATTTTGGTGAGCGACACATATGATCGCAATGCAAAACGTCTTACACTCAGTCTTAGAATTGCATTTTGTAAAGAAGTAATCCATGCGATTTGGGCAATTCATATTGCGTATACATATTCCTGTATCATGTTCAACTGCTACAAAGTGTCTAGTTTTTTTTAAATGTTCTTTAGATTTTCAATAAAAAAGTATTTGACACATTGTCACAGATAACTCAGTAGGCATTTATTGACCAGGGAGAATATCTATTTTGCATTTATTTTACATGTTTTCAATACTCATTCTATATTACTGGGTCCAATCCTCCTTGCAAGGTAATTCCTATAGAAATAGAATATAAAATGACACATAGAACAACATTATATTACCCAGAGAGAGAAAAACGTTCGCACCCCTGGGTATTTAAGTTTCTAAACACTCGGCTAGCCTCGTGTTTGTCAACTATTCACCTGGGAATTATATCTTCCTTCCTAACACTTTAGGACATGACTGATTATATTGATCTTAGTTTTAACGTGATCATAATACACTTATGACTTAAACCGTGTTCTACTATTTTGATTGTACTCCAGTGTGGTTTTGTATTGACAAAAACATTATTTAAATCATATTCTATTATTTTGACAAACGGTGATACCATTAGCATAACTTCAATTAATATTAACTAGGTATATTATTTATATATCAATATGTATTTATGTATCGATATGTATCTATGCATTAATAACATAACGAGAGCTTTACTTAACTGCTTATTGATACATTAATGATGTCCTATTAACGTTAACGTTTCGATTGTATTAGTTTACATATGTATTTTATGTTAGTTATATTTCAATCAAATTTCTTCTAATTTTATAGATGTTTGTATAGTGGTTCTTTTGTGAGGATATGTATTGTTGTTTTAACTTTTGTAATGTTGATCAATACATATTGTAGGCGTATGTAATGTTGATATATAACTTTTGTAGGCGTATGCAATGTTGATCTATAACTTTTGTAGCCGTATGTTATGTTGTTATATAACTTTTGTAGGCGTATGCAATATTGGTCTATAACTTTTGTAGGCGTATGTAATGTTGTTCTATAACTTTTGTAGGCGTATGTAATGTTGAGCTATAACTTTTGTAGGCGTATGTAATGTTGGTCTATAACTTTTGTAGGGGTATGCAATGTTGTTCTATAACTTTTGTAGGCGTATGTTATGTTGTTCTATAACTTTTGTATGTAGGCGTATGTAATGTTGATATATAACTTTTGTAGGCGTATGCAATGTTGATCTATAACTTTTGTAGCCGTATGTTATGTTGTTATATAACTTTTGTAGGCGTATGCAATATTGGTCTATAACTTTTGTAGGCGTATGTAATGTTGTTTTATAACTTTTGTAGGCGTATGTAATGTTGATCTATAACTTTTGTGGGCGTATGCAATGTTGAGCTATAACTTTTGTAGGCGTATGTTATGTTGTTCTATAACTTTTGTATGTAGGCGTATGTAATGTTGATATATAACTTTTGTAGGCGTATGCAATGTTGATCTATAACTTTTGTGGGCGTATGTAATGTTGTTCTATAACTTTTGTAGGCGTATTAACTTTTGTAGGCGTATGTAATGTTGATCTATTACTTTTGTAGGGGTATGTCATGTTGATCCATAACTTTTGTAGCCGTATGTTATGTTGTTCTATAACTTTTGTAGGCGGATGTAATGTTGATCTAATTTTTGTTGGCGTATGTAATGTTGATCTATAACTTTTGTAGAGGTATGCAATGTTGATCTATAACTTTTGTAGGCGTATGTTATGTTGATCTATAACTTTTGTAGGCGTATGTAATGTTGTTCTATAACTTTTGTAGGCGTATGTAATGTTGATCTATAACTTTTGTGGGCGTATGCAATGTTGAGCTATAACTTTTGTAGGCGTATGTTATGTTGTTCTATAACTTTTGTAGGCGTATGTAATGTTGATCTAATTTTTGTTGGCGTATGTAATGTTGATCTATAACTTTTGTAGGCGTATGTAATGTTGAGCTATAACTTTTGTAGGCGTATGTAATGTTGATCTATTACTTTTGTAGGGGTATGTCATGTTGATCTATAACTTTTGTAGCCGTATGTTATGTTGTTCTATAACTTTTGTAGGCGTATGCAATATTGGTCTATAACTTTTGTAGGGGTATGCAATGTTGTTCTATAACTTTTGAAGGCGTATGTAATGTTGATCTATAACTTTTGTAGGCGTATGTAATGTTGTTCTATAACTTTTGTAGGCGTATGTAATATTGATCTATAACTTTTGTAGGCGTATGTAATGCTGATCTATAACTTTTGTAGGCGTATGTTATGTTGATCTATAACTTTTGTAGGCGTATGTAATGTTAATCTATAACTTTTGTAGGCGTATGTAATGTTGATTTATAACTTTTGTAGGCGTATGTAATGTTGATCTATAACTTTTGTAGGCGTATGTAATGTTGATCTATTACTATTGTAGGGGTATGTCATGTTGATCTATAACTTTTGTAGGCGTATGTAATGTTGTTCTATAACTTTTGTAGGCGTATGCAATATTGGTCTATAACTTTTGTAGGCGTATGTTATGTTGATCTATAACTTTTGTAGGCGTATGTAATGCTGATCTATAACTTTTGTAGGCGTATGTAATGTTGATCTATAACTTTTGTAGGCGTATGTAATGTTGATTTATAACTTTTGTAGGCGTATATAATGTTGTTCTATAACTTTTGTAGGGGAACATAATGTTGTTTTTAACTTTTGTAAGGGTATGTAAAGTTGTTCTACAACTTTTGTAAAGCTATGCAATGCTGTTCTATAACTTTTGTAGGGGTATATCAGGTTGTTTTATATTATTACAGGGGTATGTAATGTTCTTTAACTTTTATAGTGTATGTAATGTTGTTCTATAACTTTTGTAGAGATACATAATATTGTTTTATAACTTTTGTAGGGATATATTATGTTGTTTTATAACTTTTGTAGTGATTTGTTATGCTGTTCTATAACTTTTGTAGGGGAATGTTCTTTTTTAGTGGTATGCAATGTTGTTTAATAACTTTTGTAGGGGTATATGCTGTTTGCACGTTTTGGACTTGGCGAATGTAGTCTTCCTCCTGGATGTGTTGACACGCTTCATCATGTCCCCATATAAAGCAAGATTCTTCCTCAGCGTCATCAATGTTCTGGACATCCTCGCTCTACTGGCCTGTGCCGTTACCCTGATAACTAGCCATGTCCGTTTGTTATTGTGGAGAACACTACACACCCCTAGTTTGCTCCAGATACTCGGATTTCTTCGAATGTTGAAGTACATCCGGTTCTATCGCGTCTTGAAGGCCAATCGCTCGCTCGCACTTCTTCTCCTGGCACTGTTTAAAAGTAAGCGGACAATGTTTATGTATGTTGGCGTCATGATCGTCAACTGTGTGCTAATTGGAATCCTTTTCTTCTCGTTCGAACATTCTGACGCGTACGATAATTATCTCTATGTGTCCCCGTCCATCTACTGGGCATTTATTACTATGACAACCATTGGCTATGGAGACATTTACCCAAAAACCACAGGTCCCACTTCAGTTATATCCAAATCGAATTAAAAGAAGAGTATGAAAGCTACAGCGGGCTACTCTGGTGTTTGGCTGCCGTGGGTCAGGGATCCATAGGCGTGTTTATGTATTGAAAAGGACTAGATATATAATCTCTCTAGCTATCAACATGTAATATAGGGATCCGTAGGCGTGTTTATATATTGAAAAG